AGCCCCTGCCCCCCCCGGCAAGGGCTGCCCCCCTCCCCTTGAGCGGGGAGCAGGGGGAGCAAAGCCTAGCTGGTACTACCTTCCCCCCCACTCCCCTCCCAGGCAGACCTGGGCTCGGCCAGAAAGGGGATTTAACCCCCCACCCTCCAGCATGCTAGCCCCTGGCTGGGGCCTGGCTACACCCCCTCCACTCTAACAGGAGTGGGAGAAAAGTCTTGGAACTTCAGTCCCTTCCCTTTGGCAGTGGATGACAGGCTGGGAGGTATACTCTAGTGCCCCCCCCAGCTTCTGGCCTGAGCTACTGCAGGTGTGTGCTTGCATTTCCTGAATCAAAAGTGAATGTCTGGTCACTTGCTTCTCGGTTTAATCTCTGCAGCTTAGACTAACTTGCAAAGACTGAATCAATTCAGCCTTGGGCTTTTTGACTGTCTGTACTTAGCCAATTTGTTTAGCTGTGTTAACTCACATTTTTAACTAGAAACTTAAAATATGGAAGAATTCTGTGTGTGTGTGGTACAAGAACCTTCCCCTTACCTAACATGGAAAGAGGACTTTTTAAATAATTGTGTGGTTTTTTTAATCTTCAGGAGCATTCAACAGAATCTTTTAAACATCTGCTCTTTTCTTATCTATTTATGACTCAAAGTGTTTCTCTTATTGTCATAGCTTTCTTTTTGTTTCTCTTTCTGTAGTCAACTCTGTGATTCCAAATTAAATGCTTATGTCTACAGGCCAAATGCAGGCAAGAATGCTTTGCACTTTCAAGCTTGCCAAACTTTATCCCATGCGGTTAGTCCATGCAGTTTATCCCATGCAGTTAGTCCAATAACCGATACCATGCACAAAAATCCTTGCATCTTGCTAATCTCCAAGTAATATTTCTACACTATACCATATACAAATCTGCACTTGTATTTTGTTTCAGCTACTCATCTCAATATTTAACTGGAAATCCTAAATATAGATAGGGAGACCTAGTGGCAATTTTTATTAGCTAAGTGACAACTACTACTACTTTTCAAAAAGCGCACAGCATTATGACCTCATTAAGACAGCTTCTTCCCCTCACAGCACTTACTGCACTTTTCCCCACATGAGTTTAAAGCTTCTGAGTACTTACTGAAGCGCAACTGTTTTCGGACTTGTCTTCCAGAAAGCCGATCCGACATGGTGTCCTCTGATTCTGTAGCCAGTAGTCTGTTGACTCTAGCAGACTGTTGCTGCAGAGTATCTGTTAAAACAGATGAATTTTACTTAACCCCCAAAAGCCGTCTAAGACTGAGTATGCACCCTTCAAAGTCAATGGGAGTCCTGCATGTGAACTTCACATGATATAAGACCAAGACCCATGCTCCTCTTGAAAATACAAGGTACCCAAACTGAAATGAAATGATGCTGCCTTCTTCAAAGCACTATACATATATATATTTTTAAAGATATCTGAAGGTAATTTTGGAACCAACAAACACAAGCATTTTCCAGTAGGTTGCTGGGGACTTTCACTTGGCTGAAACTGACAGACATGAATGGTGAAAAGCTAATCTGGGTTGTTGTGCAGGATTTCTGGTACGCAGGGTTATCATTTGTTTCTTATAAAGGGGGGAGTAACAATTCTGTTGGCTTTCATGCTGAGGAGTGTTGGCTTTCATGCTGAGGACTGCAAGTGTCCTGAATGCTCTTTATAAATGTTTCTATCTGACTGCTCCTTCAAGAGGTTATAGGTAGGTAAGCATTACTTGTATCCAGTCTGAAGACAGTAGAGGGGGTTTGCCATTGACTTCTGAAAGAAAAAAAACTCGCCCCTTGAGTCAAACTTCAGTCTTTACTTACAACCCAGTGATTTTGAGTTTTGGCCAAATGAAACACAAGCAATTGAGCCTTTTTAGCTCCTCTTTGCTCTATTGCTAAAGACTATTTACAATGGTTGTAACAGTCAAGGCCCAGCAAGGTGGATGCTTTAGAATAGGATGCATCCCTTAAGATGCTGCTCCTGTCAAGCAAGGAAACAACAACCAAAAGAGCCAAATCTCCTTTTCATTAGAGAAATCTCAATATACTACATATCTTTCAGTACTAAAACTTTTTCAGGCTGTTACACTTAATGTAACACAAATGTTATTTTTTCCTTTAAACACAGCCTGACATTTTATTAAAATTATTCTTTCTTTAAACACAATGGGCGCGTCTACACGAGATGCTTACTGCGCATTAGCCTAAAAATACTGCACAGTAGCGTGGTGGTTAACAACCATGCAGATAGCCTAATAACACTGCCCAGTAGGCTAATGAGCAGTAAGTGTCACAAAATAACTGCACCAGCACTGCTGCACAGTAACTCTAGCTACTGTGCATGCAATTAGTACTTCATTAAGGAAGTACTAATCTAAATGTGCAATAACTAGGGTACATTAATGAACGCATAGACATGCCCAGTGAAATCTGTCTCATACTGACACAACACATGTGGAGCATGCCAAGTTGAGAGAGAACAGCACCAGTATGTGATTACAGATGTTGAGCAAGAGGGTTCTCAATCTCCTCATAGGGCAGGTACAGACATTCAGGGCATTTATACATGTACTTTTTTCCAGTGACGTGCTGGAGAACTGCAGCTTTGCAGCAGACTCAATTAATCGCACCACTGTGCAGAAAATGGCAGTGGTACGCTTTTGAACTAAAACACTTCTGAGATGTTTTAGTTCAAAAGCATGCCACCACCATTTTCTCAGTGCTGACGTGCATTTCACCACTTATACAACTGCATGCATCTTGGCGCTGGGTGCTTTTCAAAGTACCTGGTGCTGTGACACATGCATGTGTAAAAATGCCCTCCGTCTCTGCTGGGAGAGTTGCTGTTCTCCCAGGAGAAACCATGAGTATAAAGATGTTCAGGATTTTTCTCTCAGAGCAAAGATGGCTGCTCCAAGAGAAAAATAACACCTGGAATCAACCAGGGTTAAATCTCTCCTGGAAGTTTTTCTCCTGGGAAAGTGAGTGTCTGCACAATTTACCCTTCCCTAGCCTCCTAAGATGTTTGTACATGCCACAGGGGTCTACTTCAGTTTAATTCTCCCTAAATTAAAGCAGTGGATCTTTAAAAACACCGCTTTAATTTAGGGTGAAGTAGACCCCTGTGGCACGTACACAAGGGTTGGGCCTGACCCTTACCAGCCTCTCCAGCAGCAGGGAGGGAAGGGTGAGCTGCAGAGGGGGGCTGGTGCTTCCTTCTGTGGCAGTGGAAGCACCCACCCACAAGCACCTGGCCCGAGCAGTCCCAGAGGGCACTGCAGCTGTGGAGAGAATTGCCAGGCCTCTGTGCAGCTCAGAAAGGCAAGCAGGCTTCAGGGAGAGGGGGGAAAAAAGATCAGGCTTGCTGCTTTTTGTTTTTTTCCTTCAGTGGAGCCTGCCTGCACAGCCCCTAAGATGCACAAGGCCCAGTGCTTCCCTCCATGGCAAGCCTTGGAGATGTTTTATTTTGTTGCGTCCCAAAGTCATTTAATGCACATTACACCACTGACATATGCAAACAGCTGCACCATTAAAATGGTGCTAAAGGGCATTAAGCCACTCTAAAGGCCAGTTCTGTGGCATGTACAAATGACCCTAGAGTGCTTTCCTCCCATCCCCTGCCCCCTGCCTCCCTGAAGAGACACTGTGTATTGCTTGGGCAGGATTCTACTCCTTCAGCCAAGCAGGAAGCAGAACATGCCCTCTTCACAATCCCACATTGTGCTGCAGGGAAACATGGGCTCACTCAGTGTGCCAGGGCTGCCCTGTGCACTGCTGCCATCTATCACCAGGCAGACTCCAGGGATACAGGGGGCCCCTGACTACGCAGCATCAGCACTGCAAGCTCTCTGCTCTTCAAGCACTTAGCTTTACAATGTCTATTCATGTGTCTCCAAGGAACTCGGTTATGATGGTAAAGGCAGTCCACTTAAAACCTTCAGTAGATTGGCACCATGCTAGCGATGCTACATCTTCTAACGTTCACTGTATGTATGATTTATTATAGCTTCCCAAAAAATTTAACTAACAGTTGGGATAGTTATTTTGGGTCCTTATGTGTATATATTATATCTGTTGGCTAAAACACAGGAAAAATTAACAATAAACATAAAATTCACTCCAAAGAACACAGATGTAAACAGTCAGTGGATTGGGGAACTATTTCATCATAACTCTTCAAATATTTGTCAGCTATGCAGCTTGACTATATTCCCTGTGAAACAGGCAAATGGTAGTGGCATTCTGTTCCCACAACCCCTCTTCCTCCTATTTAAAATATGTCAGGATTTTTGAGGAGGCAGGAAAGATTATTCCTTTTTAACTTCTACTAAATGCAGCCTAAAAAATAATAATGGGAAAAAACCAGGGGACTTATAATTTAGCTTTCAAAAATGGAGCTGAAGTGTTGCACACAAAATGTATGTCTCTGGTAGTGGTAGGCAAAAATGGTCCTAGACTGGATTTGGAGCTGACGCTTGCACTGTCACTGATGCTCTGAAACCTGGAACTGTCAGTCTTCCTGATACCATGACCTATGGAGATTCTCGTCTCATCCTCAGCTGTGCCATACTGTACCATACTGGTACTTGTGAGGGAAATGGTGAAGGACTAGAATAGTCACATACACAGTTGGCTCCAGGGGAGTTCTCTTTATGGTTCACTGGGGTTTTTTCTTGGCCAGTACACTGCTATAGCAGGATATGGGGGCCATGGTAGGTAGAGGAAGGGGACGGCGAAGCAATGAGAATGCCTCTCTTAGAATATGCCACAATCTGAGAAGCTTTCTGCACCACCAACCTAGTAACTTCTTCCTGCTGCAGGTTTTTTTCTATGCCAAGGGTGACTTGGCCATAATATTTTTTAAAACAATTAGATGGTTTCAGAAACAAGAATAACAACAGCAATGACACCAGCTGTATCTTGTGTAGTTATCACCATAATGCAAGGATGACAGGAATCAGATCTGGCAAATTGTTTCAGATTTTATTCTGATTTCTTTTTAAATTACAGGTTTCCTTCACTTTATGTGGGTTTTTCATGTGCAATTTCACTCATATGTGATGACCCTTTTTATACCAAAAATGTATTATATGCGAGGTAAATTCACTCTTAAGCAATCGGTGTGGTGGAAGCCCACAGTCAGCTGCTTTGTGCGGTGCACTGGGGGAGTGACGTGCACCAAAATACAGTCTCCTGTGTGGATCTGTGCTCCTTGCTCATGGTCTGCACCACGTGTTTCTGTAGTTGCCATCTCCATTATGACAGTGCCCTGGGCTTGTGTGTACTGTATTGTCTGCTGTTGGTGAGTATCAAAATTGTCTCGTAAAAGTGGCAGAAGTGGGTCTGGGGGTCAGTACAGTTGAGGTCTTAGAATGTATCCCTGTTTGTTACATTTAATGCGGGTTCCCTTTATGTGAATTGGAGTTATGTGCTGTTTTCCAGGAATGCATGTACACCATAAAATGAGGGAAACTTGTACACTGAAAGAAAGTAGGCACTAACTAGTGCCTCAACTTTGTTTATAAAATAATAAAGCACATATTTTAAAACTACACATTTGCTACCATATTTGCAAGAATTGATGCGGTATCTTGCTTTAACACTGTGCTGGGATAAAATTACAAAATAGCTTTTGACTGTAATTTTCTTGTATTAGAATGTAGTTCAGTGTTCAAACAAAACATACTTGTTGGGGAAAACACCTACTTCTGAGCTCTGAATAGTCTGTCATTATTGTGAAGCCTTTCTACTAATGCTGCATGAAAAACAAAGAAACAAGTAAGCAGGAACAATACTACTGGGTACTGAGTGTGCTGTACACTTGTCAACAAAAAGTATGTCTAGGAAATATGCTTGATCAAGTAAGACTTATCTGTGGTACACTGGGCCTCATTTGTGCTATAAATCCATCAATCCATTTTTGTTACAAAAATGACCCAGTATCAAGCAATTCCAAATATAAAACTAACCAAATAACCACTGAGTGGCAGTTACAGCGTCATCTCTCCACAGGCTGAGAGGTTTTCAGGATTAAGCTTCACTCCTCCACTTCCTCCTATCATTGTTGTGAATGATCCCTGGAATGCTTCCCTTGCATTGATATTAGCTTTGTTGAAGTATTCCTGGGGATCATGAGCCTGCTATCCCTATAAAGCTACACTGAACCCACCTACCTTCAGATTATACTCCTGGAGTAGGTCTTTTGTGTGCTAAACTGTTGTG